TTTTTTAATTATTTAATAATTATAAACATTCAATTAAATAACATACGTGTACGTTCCAATATTAATGAATTACCACCAATCACCAATTAATTAAAAAATAGACTGAACAATTTTCTTGTACCAATCAAAGTTAAATGCTGACATAGTTTATTGATAATATTATGCAATTTTAATGCAGAAAACATACTAAAATTAATTATGTGAATACTTGCTTGTTAAAAATCATTCCAAAAATTGATAATGAAGTGCAACAAAATAAAAAGCTATTTCAAGCACCACTTCCTGGCACCGATTGCTTTTTCATACCAAGAGGCTTATTAGAATATGTAGAGCAGGCAAGACTACTCCCTATGCTGATTATACTATGTTTTAGATATTGGCTTGCTCTACAAACATCAGATTTAAGTTATAATGCCATTGATAGGGTATAGGGAACCAAAGCAGCGTTGCAGTCACAAAGTTGAACAAATTTACGTTCATGGCGCATACATTAAAATAACAAAACCGTAGCAGTAACTGCGACTAGAAGCGCAACAGCAACAGCAACAGCAGTTAAAACAACAACAGCAACAGTAGTAGGAAAACAAATTGAAAAACTATCGAACAATGATAAATTGGCACGAGAACGACCAAAAAAAAAACAACAAAACAGAATAAAAAGAAAGTTGATGTCGCAGTTGTGCGGTCGTCGCCTCATGATTGTGTTTGCATGTGTGCGTGTGTGTGTGTGTGTGTGTGTGTTTGTGCTCGCTTGTGTGTGGTGGCAAATGAAAATTTGAAAAAGGGGCGGAGCAATAATGGTTTTCCAGCACACGCTGCTCAGTTGGTTCTATTATTGTTGTTGTTATTGCTGTCGCTGCGATTTTTTTTTTAAGGGAAATTCTTTGATTTTTGATATTTTGGGGTGTTTTATTGAGGTTTTTTCCTGAAAAAAGCAGCGATATGGGTTGCTATGTATGTGTGTGTGTGTGTGTAAAACTATTAAATGTGCTGCGGGGTGCGCTCATTGATACAGTTGTGTATGTGTGTGTGCGTGTGCGTGTGTGTCTTCTTGTGATGTTGGGTATCAGTGTTATTGTTGTTTTGATTTTGATTTTGCACCCGTAACTGTTTTCGATTCGGATTTGACAATGTTTCAACATTTTGTGTGTTTTTTTCTGCTGCGTCATGCGACAGTTGACAACGAACCACTTGGCAGGACACAACGTATTGTGCGCATGCGCCAGCAGCTTCGAAAACAGCACGTACATTTCTCTGATAACGAAACGTCATTTCGACCAACAAGTGAAGAAAATCGAATGAAAAAATTATAAAACATATATGCAAAATCAATAAACATTACTTGAAATAAATAAAGTAAAGAATGTGAAGCATAATTTAAAAATTTAATTTCATCAAAAGAGTATTCCAAATGTGTTATGATAATGTTTTGAAGTGAATCATTGGTGAACTTATTCCCGAACCTATATAATTTCTAAATAGTACGGAGTTTCATTTTGCATAGCTTCATGAGTACGTGTAATTTTCATATTATCATTAAACTTGGCTTCCTATCTTTTAGTTAATGTTCAAATTTATGCTGTGTAATAAGTGTTCTATAGATCGGGGAAAACTGAATAACACCATACACGTATATTATGTAATAAACAGTATTTTTTGTGGGAGATCTATGCAAGAAAAATTGTCGCCAGATATGTGATTTAGAACAATTTTAGTAGCAACTCTTAATCATAAATTATTAAACCAGCTAAACGAAAATCAATACACTTAATGCTTTGTGTATGTTAATCCTTTATATGTTGTTTATTTTGTGAAAACTTTTCTTCCAAACATAAATAATAATTTTTATTATGCAGTTATTATTTTTTATTTCTGAAAAACTTTGTTTACTAAGCGTTACTGGTTGTAATAAAATTTATTATAGTTTGGGATCAGTTTCCTGTTTGCATAACATTAAAAGGAAAAGAAAATAAGTACTTTATTTAGCCAGAAAGTCGTAGTACGCCTAACGTGTAATTGAGCTGGCTACCAAATATTTTTAAACAAATTGGCAAAGAAATCATTGAAATCACCTCATCTAATTGCATGAATGAGAACTCAGACATCGAATTTGCAAACATTCATAAAACGGAAAGCATCAAATGTGGTTGAAAAGGCTGTCAAAAGCTTTTATGCATCCATATAATTTTATTAAGTTTCTATGAATTTGAAAGATCAATTAAATTATTAGGCAATTGTTAATAGCCAACTTTTCTATCACAATTTTTCACCGTTATAAGATCTTGGGAGCTTTCAAGCTTGTCAGCAAATCGGCTTAGCTTGAATTTGTTTTTCTTGAACTCATTTTATTTTTCCTCAGAATGCAATTATTTTTCCTTTTTAACAAGTGCCAAGTCAATAAATTTTGGCCGCAACTTCTAACCAAAACATGCATATACGAGTATATACATATATGATACATATGTATATATGTAAGTATTTACTTTGCTTGCCAATTATGCGCATCTCAACTTGAGACGCTGTCAAATCATGTTGCATATATGTACTTGTATGCACATATATAAAATAGAAATATATACATGTATGGCTTGTTTACACTCTGTTGCCATTGCCATTTTCATTTAGAACATTTTTCTTTTACATGCAGCCCCACATTGCTTAATACATATACGAGCATACACATAGATGCTTACAAATAATGTGAAGGGGGCAGCCCGACACGGGCAGGCTGGGAGGCGAGCAGGCGAAAAAAATCAAATAAAATAACATCAAACTACCTTAGGCTTTATAAAAATCCCCACCACACTCACACCCACAAGCTTCTTACGTACGTATATATACACAAACTTAAACACACACACACACACACAACTACACCTACGCACACATGCATAACGAAAATGCGTACATCCTGGCATTTTTGCTTAACTCCACAAACTGGCAGGCACATGAAAATCGTTCAGGAACGGGCGCGGGTCCAGGCAAAACAAAAAAAAATTGTATAAAAGCAAAGTCAACAACTACAACAAGAACAAGAACAACAACTACAACACACAACTCACTACTCACTATAGGCAGCGTTAGCCCGAAAAAAATAAAAATAAAATAAAAGCTAAAGAAAAAAAATCTACGAGAACCAATTTCCAACCATGGAAACTTAATTTATGTCTGCAGCATAGTTGAGAATATTTTTCTTCTGCTTTTGTAGAAAAATAGGGAAAAAAATGTTCGGTTTATTTCGTCGTCCTCTTCGTAGCCGTCGTCTTCCTTGTTTCTCGTCCTCGTCGCCGTCCTCTTCGAGCAGCCCGGCTTCCTTTTGGCTTTCTTGAGAATCAAATTTATTTTACCAAGTCATGTTGAAGAAAATTTTTATAAGTTTTATGCGCAGTTCAAGTGATGGTGTCAAGGGGGCGGCCGGGCGGTCGCTTGTTCCTTTGGCTGGGCGTGGGTGAATCGGCTGGCTGGCTGGCTGGCTGGCTAGCTGGCTGGCAAATATTACGAAGAACGGCACACAAACAAACACATATACAAAACTGTATGTGTTTGTGTGTGTGTGTGTGTGTGTTGGTTTGTAGGTTGCTTGGTTGGTTAGATGGTGAGGCGCAAAAAGTTTGTGCGTGTTAGTGTGTGTGCGTGTGTGTGTGTGGCACACAAAATAAGCAAAATTTGTATTCCTTAAATCGGATGACTTTGTATAAATTTTCGTGTGCGCTGGCAATGGGGTTGTATGTGTATGTGTGTGTGTGTGTGTGGTATTAGTTGCTTCTGCTTTTGTTGTTATGTACGAGTATGTGTGTTTTGTGGGTGGCTGATGGGCCAAAAGTAAGTTTCATATAGTAAGTCTGTATGCGTGTATTTGTGCACATAATGGAAAAATTTTTCATAGAATTTGCACAAAAATGAAAAAGTGTAGCTAGGAAAAAGCAAAAACAAAATATACATAAGTACATGTATGTAAGGGAAAGAAGCAAGCGTGTAAGAAAAAGAAGAAGAAGAAGCAAAGGGAAAAAAATAAAATTAAGCGCATAAGGAAATGAGACACAAAATGCGGGCAAAAATGTTCCAAAGTTGTAAGTGTGTGTATACACTTCTGTATACATATGTGCGTACATGTATTAGTTTTATTGTGTGCGTGTGTGTGTGTGGTTTGGTTTGACTAAAATGTGGAAATTTTTCGTAGCATACTTTTATGCGCCATGTGGGCAGCAGCATCATCATCAGCTTGAGAACAATAATAAGATTTAAGCGAAAGAGGTCCTCAACATGCATACAGTAAACACTCGATATGGTCATAGGATAAGTCACAAAATGTTTAAAAGTGATTAGTTTGTCTTAAATAACATTTGGAATGCCAAAATTTTAAATGCACCTAAATTACATAAAATTCGCGAAACTGTTTACTACTTATGGTCATATTAACAATATTTTTGACCAATAAGGCATCGGACTGTAATACAGCCATTTCATTAATTACACAGCGAGTAATTCCTGTCAACATTCGAATTCTAATCATCAGCAATTTGAAAACAAAAGGCAAATTTGAGCAAAGTCGGTCTTTAGAAGTGCGGTTTCAATGAGTTTGTTATATTGAGCGTCAGTTTTATTTACAATATTTTTGACCAATAAGGCAACGGACAGTAATACAGGCATTTCATTAATTACACAGCGAGTAATTCCTGTCAATCAATACCCGTACAACATTTGAATTCTAATCATCATCAGGTCTTTAGAAGTGCGGTTTCAATGAGTTTGTTATATTGACCGTAAACTGAATATAACTATATACTTATAGAAACATATACATGCATTTGTTTTTTATGATATAGCGTATTAATCCTAGCATATATTTATCTGGCATGCTTGAAAAAGCTTTAACGCACACTTAGAATGATTGAAATCTGAGCTTTAATTATTGCCACATACTTTTTTAACTCATGTAAAACAAATTCTTCTTTTCTCCTAAACACAAAAAACGTATAATTATAGTAATATCATCCAAAATGGCCGCATCCATATATGCCACCCCACCGCCCGACCTGAGTAGCGAAGACACCGCGCTCTCCGATGTGTCCAATTCATCGACACTAAATACAAATCGGGGTAGTAGTAACAACAGCAGCAGCAACAATAACAACAACAACAACAGCCACAGCAGCAGCCACACATTGCAACATGAAGCCACAGCAGCGTGCGTTGACGCCACAACAACAACAACTACAACAACAGCAGCAGCAACATCTGCTAGGAAAGTAACAACAACAACAACGACAACAAGGCCAAACTCACCCACAGAGGACAAGGAGAGAAAGCCACCGACAAGCGCCACGGGAAGCAACACAAATGACAACGATGCTGCGGTCGCTGGCGAAGGAGTAGGGGAAGGAGATGGGGAGATGGAGGACAGCAGCGAAGCGGGTCAAACGGCAATGGCCGCAATGGCAGCAGCCGCTAATGCAGCCATGCAGCTGCGTCTGCTGGAGGCACTCAAGAAGCGACGCAAACAAAACAATCCCAGTCGCCTCGAAGCCTTGAATCTAAGCGGCGAGGCCGAGGAGAGTGCAGCAGCCGCCGCCGCGGAGGCCGAAGCTGAAGCCGCAGCTAGCGTGGTGGACTATGAAGAGAAGCTGTCCAAAATGTTCTTGCCCAAGTCCATTGAGAAGCTCAAGCAAACCTTCGAGTTGTTGCAGCAACAACAACAGCAACAACAGCAACAACATTTGGAGGCAGAAGACATATCAGCAAAGCAGGCGGGAGAACAAGAGTCCGAACTCATGAAGAATCCTTATCACACCTATTGCAAGGAGTGCGGTGAGAATTTTGAGAACGAGTTCAAACTCAGCCTGCATATGTTGCAGGAGCATGCGGCAACAGCAACAGGCCATGGAGGCGACAACAATGACGAGCAACAACACGAACTGACGCCCATGGACTTTCTTGCCTCCGTGAACGTGAAACTGGAACGCTCCGATAGTCCCATACAGTCCAGCCAATCCGAGCAGGATCAGACACAGTTACAACAGCAACACCAACACGAGCACGAACAGCAGCAACAGCATCAAGAGCGACTTCAGCAGCACCTGGAACAGGAGCAACACGCATTGGGAGCATTGGCCAATGGCAACAAGGAACATTGGCTGCAGGCCATGCCGCATCCTGGCATGCCTCCAGCCTTTCCCTTTGCTTCCGAGGCTGCCGCCGCGGCCGCTCTAAGTGCGGGCAGCTATTTGCCGCTGCTGGGAATGCCCGGATTTCCACCCGTTGATGGCTTGAATCGGCCGCCACTGAGAATCTTCAATCCCGAGGCATTCTGCGAGCTCTGCAATAAGGAGTTTTGCAATAAGTATTTCCTGAAAACGCACAAGGCCAACAAGCACGGCATATTCGATCCCGTTGGCGATCTGGCCACTACTACCGGCAGCAATAACAACAACAGCAGCAACACGAACAACAACAACAGCAGCAGCAACAATAATAACAACAATGGAAATGTAACTCCTTTAGGCATGGGCGCCATGAGTCAAATGTTTCAGCATCAATTGCCATCCAAATCGGCAGCTGTTGCAGCAGCAACAACAACAATTGACCCACTGCCACCCAGTGGTCAGCAGTTGACCCCACCAGCACCACCGACCGTGCATTGTGACATCTGTTCAAAGCGTTTTACCAATGTCTTTGCCATGCGTCGCCATCGGGCCAAGGTGCACGCTCAAACGTCTCCGAACGGCACGCCACACCAGCAGCCACCGCAGCCACCGCAGCCACAGCCACCACAGCAGCAACAGCCACCGCATCGCGTTAGTCCAAGTGAGCAGGTCAAGCAGGAGGTAGCCGAGTCCACTGTGGAACCGTCAAAATCCAGTTTTCAAATGCCCGACGGCTTCCGCGAGGACTTCACCTTGGAGCAAGAGGAGTTGGCCTTTACGCCGCCGCCACGAAAATTGGCGCCACAGCAGCAACAGCAGGCGCGTGAGGCCAACTTTGCTCCGGAGAAATTACGGCGTCTCGGCATCCAGCAGGTGGAGGCGTTCTGTGAGCTCTGCTGCAAGGAATATTGCAACAAATATTTTCTACGCACACACAAGTGGAAACGTCATGGCATTTTTGTGCCGCCAGAAGATCTTACCAAGGAGCAGGATCAGCAATTGCAGCTGGCTCAGAAAATGGCCAACTGGCCCTTCATGAGCCTGCCCGGTGCCATGCCCCTGAACCTAATGCTGGCCAACGAGAAGGCCCGCATGTTGGCAGCGGCAGCCGCGGCCAGCAACAACATTGTGGAGTCTCCGAGCGAGGACCAGCCATCTGCCGCCAAACGGATCAAGCTAGAGCCCCAGGATGCTGATGCAAACGAACACTACGAAGGCGCGACCGCTGAGGCCAGCACCCTAGACAAAATGGAGGCCACTGACAGCTCCACAATGGGTCTGCAGAACTTGCAAAAACTGCAGTCCATGTTGCAGCAACTAAATGAGCTGAATGGCAAGCGTCCATTGCCCTGCCACTTGTGTGGTCGCGAGCTCGAGCATCAATATGCGTTGCAGGCGCATCTCATGACCGAGCATGCGGGCATGAATCTGGACCAGCCACTGCCCCAGCTCTACCAACACCAACAGCACCAACAGCACCAGCAGCAGCAACAACACGCACAACAGCCACAGCCAACTGTGCCGCTTCCCGCACCGCCCACAAGTGCGAAACTGTCACCGAACGCGGCGGGTTCGCCCGGATCTCTGCCAAGCGATTTGCTGCGCTGCCAGCAATGCGATCGCGACTTTGTCAATGCCCAAGAATTCAAGCAACATATCGCCGAGGTACATCTGCTGCCTGGAAGTCCGCTGCGTGAGGGATTTTACACGCCCGAGCGACCCATTAATGTGGTTGGCGGCCCTACCATAGCAGCTGCAGGGCCCAGCGTGCCGGCACGTGCTCCCTACACCATAACCCCGACGAGCAGCTACTGCGAGATCTGCAACAAGGAGCTCTGCAACAAGTACTTCATGAAGACGCACATGCAACGCATGCACGGCATTGAGATTGAGAATGGCGCCCAAATCGGCGGAGTCGTCTGCAACATTTGCAACAAGGAGCTGTGCAGCAAATACTTCCTGCGCGTTCACAAGCACAACACACACGGCATCATTGAGGAGGGTGCCCCGTTGCCGCAGCCACGAGGTGGTGGAGGAGGAGGCGGTGGCGGTGGCGGTGGTAGCGGACAGAACGGCTTGAAGTTCGACGCACAGCAGCAACAACAGCAACAGCTCATGGAGCAGGAGCTGACACGTGGCCAGAACTTGAGTCCGCAGAACTCGGCGACAGCATCCACAGTAGCAGGCACACCCATAGACTCGAGCAGTGGCGGCTCGTCCAGCTACAATGAGGTCTGTCCGCTCTGTACGCGTCACTTCCGAAGCGCCAAATGGCTGCGCACACATCTCATTAACGACCATGGAGCCGCTGGTGTCGAGAAATTGCGCGAACTTGAGCAACCGCCGAGCAACACGCGCAGCAAACCCAACAGTCCCACGCTCAAGATACCCAATGGGGTGACAGCCCTCAGTTCGGCAACCAATCCGGCCAATCTAGCGCAGGCTCTGCAGAACCTTAACGCTCAGCATTTGCTTGGCCAAATGCCCAAGAGCATGCTGCCGGGCATGTTTGGAGCAGCTGTGGCCGAGCAGGCGGCACTGCAGTCCCCACGCTTCAAGGAATATCAGTGCTCCATGTGTCCCTTCACCACACCTTACTATGCATTTCTCTTCATCCACGAGCGCTCACATGCGCTCCTAGGTGGCGGCGACGCCACCAATAGCCAGGCGGCTCTGGCCGAAGCCGATGCGACGGCTCAGGCCGAGCTGCCACCAACCGACAGGGCCTTTGCTTTGATACAGGGCAAAGCAAAGGGCAAGCCACAGCATCCCGTGCGAACCCACGAGCACGTAGACCATGTGGAGCCCACTAACCTGAGCACCACAAGCAACCACAGCAACAGCCAGAAGACACGCACACCCACACCCACTACGACACCATCGCCGAAGGCCACACCATCACCAACAGCCATGAGCACCAGCAACAACAACAGCTTGGCAGGAGCATCGGCTACTCCAGTACCCACAACAATGGCATCTCCCAAGCAGCGCTCGACCAGCGTTACGCCCATACCGAAGCCTGGCACGCCCACCACTCCGCAGAGCAATGGCGCTGCTCAGAGATCGGCGGCAACCTCGCCCTTTGAACTCTGCGCCGAGCTGGCCAACGGCAGTGGCAAGCCCGTCAGCTATGCCATGCCCGACAAGAGCGACGAGTCATATCAGATGCAGGCCTTCCATGTGGCACCCGCCGATGCGGATGCCGAGGCTGGTGAGCTCTTTGCGCCCGCCATTGTCTATTTGCCGGTGCGCACGCGCCTCTCGGAGGCCACCGCCGCCACCTTCACCTTCAAGCTAACGCCAGCCTAGGCCTGAGCGAGGTGTTGGCCATAAGATCACCAAGATCGCAGTGTTGCCAGCGTAAGTTACAATTAATTTGTTTTGTTTGGTATCCCATTTGGATGACATGGAATCAGATCATAAGCTCTGAAGGAGTGCCTCAAATGTGTGCTGGAGGTTAACACAACTTCGCATCTACGCAATCTCTAGAGATATTCTTTCAGTTTAAAAAAAAAAATCCAGGCACAATTTTAGATCCTATATCATGCGGTCAGACAGTCAAATGATTTGCGCACTAATTTTACTTTAGTCAGAGAAACAACAACAGTGATATATTTAAAGAATATTTAATGAAAAAAAAAACGCGTCTGCTTTCGAATATATGCGCAAATTAATTCTCTGTCTGACCGTCGCATTTCAAAGACATGTTGATGTTTCTAAGTTTTTACCAAATATGCGGAATCGAATCTAACCACAACTATAGAAATAATAGGCGTATAAAGGGACAATAGTGGAACATTTCCTTAAAACAAGGTGTTGAAATTAAAGAATCGTTTCTTTGAATTATAAGTTGGAAAGCACTCGCCAGCACACATTTTGAGAGCTATATCTCTGATCGAAAAGCCATGTCATCTTCAATTTCACATAGAAGCCACACACTGATAGCTACAAGTATTTGCCCAAACCGAAAATGACATGAAGACAAGACAAAATAGTGGAACTACAAAAGACTGAGTGCGCATATTAGTTGAGCTCATTATTAATGTTTTTTACAATTGCAAACGAGGATCTTGCTAATTCGAATTCCAAAATTGGCAATCGAATCGAAACGAGCGTTTTATGTTTAACATAGAACCCGAGCATACATAACCTATATAAATATATATACACACATATACTTGTATATATATATATATATATATATATACTTATACATACTAACTAACCTGTGTAATAACCGAACAAGAACAAGTCCGTTTAAGCTGGCAGCACTGTATGCTAAAACATATGTATTTTTATATGCATAACAACAACAGCATGATAACAGAGAAACAACAACATAACAGAAAACACAAGCACAAAAACAAAAACAAATCAAAAACAAACAAATACATAAATATATCTCTAGTGATTAATATCAAAGTTCCTATGCGTAATAGTAATTTTTAAAAGGCATTAACGTAAACAAACGAAAAACTTAGTCAAAAGGAAATTTAAATACGTACATACTACATAAGTCAGAGACATGGAAGGGGGAGGCGTTGGAGGTGGTGCTCCTTGCGGTGGCAATGCGTGATGGATGGACAGGGATGGGGAGGGATGGGGAAGCTTCAGCCAGAAGCTTCAGCATAACGTACATCTATACATATAGCGGTCACTCGCAATTGTGACATTTTCAAAATCAAAATTACATTTAAAAATATACAATATATATATATATACATACATACATACATACATATACTATATATACATACAAGTATATAGATATGTGTTTAGTTTTTGGGTGAGTTTAGGTCTAGAAGGTTTTTGGGTTCGCTTCGGTTGGTGTCGATATGTTGTGGGCACATCAACGTACATGCTACACAAACAAACAAGAGTTAATGCACATATATTTGCTCAAAAATTTTCAAATATACACCGTAAATCTGATCTAGATATGTATATGCCAATAATAGATTGGCGCATATGATGATAAGTGAGTCTAGAATTTGAATGGGCTATAGATTTTGCAACATTGAAATAAGTTTCGTCTTAAGTGTTAAGCAAATCGATCATAGAAGGAAGCTACTAATAAATCGACATTATTATTATTTCTTAAACTAATTATTGAGAATTTCCTCTAATAGAAAAATGATGCCACCTAATATTTTAAAAGGCATCAAGTAGACCCTTGATTCCTTTAAAGCTAAAGTCCAGTTCAGCAACGTAAGATATGTTCACCATCCCAGCTCTACAAAATTATTAAAAAGTATTGATTTTAGTGGAAAATAACGACGATATAAATCACATTTTTTTTGCATTAAAATCGTGCTACAAATCCACACCTATCCAAGTAATTAATGTCGATTTATCAGGATGTTCGAGATCAAGATTGGAGCAGCACGAATACTATACAACTAACTACACTTGCCAAAAACAAAATAAGTAGTCTAAAGAATTCACATTGAACACATTCCAAGTTGTACATAAACTGCTACAAAGAAGAGCTTGACATGGCTAGAAATCGAAAGGAAATTATAGAAATAGCAGAAAATTAAAATAGTTGGGCAGCTGTAGTTAAAGAAGAGGATTGTGGCGCCAGTAAAGGTTTTCTCCAATTAGGCAAGCAAGAACTACTCAGGGCAAAAGTACAATGACCATTAGTACTTGTTTTATATATATACACAATACCTATGTATTAAATAAAACATTAAACCAAATATATAAACAATTAACGATAAATTAATATAAATCTGAAAGGAAAATGAGAACATAAATGCTACCTCAGACGGACTTGAAAACAATAATTTAAATAAATGAATTTATATAACGAACTAAATCAAAATGCTTAACAAACAGCACACAAAACTCTTGTAGAGCCGATGTTGTAAATACAATTTTTTTTAGTAAATTTACCTCAAATGAAAGCGCACGAGCCATTAACTAAAATAATACAATAACAAAGTTGAACGCGCAACCGTTTACATTAATTAGACTTTAATTTACATTTTTATAATTTGCTAGCATATACGAGTGACGATTTATTATATATACACCTACATACATGCATATACTTATACAAATGTATGAACTTAAGTTGCACATTCCAAACCAGAACACATACAACTGACCAAAGTACGATGCTAGTCGCAAAACTAATACCACTTTCTAGTCAAAGTTGCGGGCGCTGCTCACAGTTGGCGCTGAGCGCAGGTTGTGTAGCATTCATGATGGCGCCCCAGACTTACAAACACACACACACACACACACACTTATATGAGCACATACATGTGTACATATGTTTGTGTGTGTGTGTGCGGTATAAAGCCCAAAGTTCAATTGCGTGCAGACTGTCTGGCCATTTTTCAGCTGCTCCGCAATCTTGTACAAGTATATTATTTTGTAGTATTTAAGGCGTTTATTATTTACAAAATTGCGCAGCTGAAACAAAAAACAAAAGAAATGGAGCTGACAGGCACAACTGCCGCATAACCAATAACCCTAAATATTGTAAGTGAAATATGAGAAACAGCGACGTGCGTTTGCTAATTTTAAATTTTTTAAAAATGTGAGTTTTAAAATGCTGCGTGCCTTTTAGCAAATGCGTCGCTGTGGAGATAAACGAAAAACATAAACAAACACCACTAAATAAAATAACAAAATCAGCATGATAGCTTAATTTAATTATTAATTATTAATTTTACTTTACAATTTTCATTTATGTAATTATTATTATATATATGTACAAAAACAACAACAACAACAACAACAACAACAAAGCGACAAAATTATCAAATAAACTTTTGTTACATTTATTTCGTCATGTTTTTAATTTACTTGCCATATGATTTACGACATTGGATTGGTTTCTCCCTTTCTCTCTCTCTCTCTCTCTTACTATATTTTTGGTTTACATTATTTTTTTGAAGCCGCAAATTGCTGCCTGACGCGTGCCCCATTCCCCGTGCCCCGTGCCCCGTGCCCCGAGCCGAGCTCATTTTTTACACTGCCAAACACCGCATGTTTTTTAACGCCTCGAACAAATTGACTCGCTTGATCTTAAATGACTTTTCAGGCCACTTACTTAACGTCTTATCGGGCGGGCGAACAGCCCCTGAAAATTGTCACTGATTGTGTGGCACGCACAGACCTTTGTTGAAAGTATCACTGCCTCTCCCTTTTTGAGTTTCGGTTTTTTAGGTACGAATAATGTGTGTGTGTAGTTGTTTTTAGATAGGGGCTCTGTTTCTTGCACTTCAACTTATGCTGGTTGAACGCCTTCGGGTACAAATTATTAAATTGTTATTTAATTGAAATTTTTTAATACAATTTGTCAACAATGCCGAGCGATTTCTCCTGCTATCTGGGAAAATGTGTGTGTCAGTGTGTGCGTGTGTGTGTGTGTGTGTGTGTGTGTGTGTGTGTGTGTGTGGCAGCTGTTTATAGTTTTTAAAATCTTGTTTGCCACTGCAATCGCACCCTCATAAAAAATGCAACTACTTCCGGCTTACCCCCACATAATGATTAGCTTATTTGCTTTAAAAACAGCACCCTCAGTCAAATGATTAGTGGCATATATTTATATTTATAAAAAATATATATACTCACATATATGCATTAGTGTGCGTGTGCGTGTGTGTGTGTGCGATAACAAAAACACAGCACGGTCAGCTGCCCAACAAAGTACGCGAGGGTCAAGCCTAAAGCGTTTTCCATAGAAAAAATTCAAATTGTGCAGACATTCTGCAGCTGCCGGTTGGAGAAAACTGAAAACTCCATGATATCGAGCTACGACGTTCATTAAAAATGTGCATTGATTACTGACCGGCTGCTCTTGATGTCCTGGCCACCACCCTCGTTCGATTTTTGTCCTTCTGCCCGTTAATTATTTGTCACGTGTCCATGCAAATTTCATTTTCATTGATTACAATCCAGAAAGGGGACATCCGATACTTTTACGGCTGCTGCAATTATAGATATATGTGTATATATAGTTTTGCATTAGTCGGCATTGGGTAATAAGCCACCCCCCGAAGAAAATCGAGAGATGAGGGTGCGCCCTCTCATGCAAATTCCGACTGCCTTCCTTCCTTCCTTTCTGCTTTTCTGCCTTTCTGCCTTCGCTCTTTTTTCATATTTTCTATTGAATTTTTATGGCAATTTATAATGAAATGCATTTGCCATTGTATCGAATGTGCGGTGTGTCTGTATGTGTGCGTGTGTGTGTGACTTTAATCCTGAGCCAACAATTTTTATGGCAAACAATTGCCAAAAACTCGAGGCCAACCAGACACCCGGGGCGATACGAGCTCGCAGTACGAGCATAGGGGTGCCTTCGGCTGCCTTTGGGTGCCTGCCAGATAGCATTTGCATGTTTAAAAATGTGCAAAGAAAATGTGCACATAAAAATATGGAAAAATCAGTGAAAAATGAAAAATGCAATTTACTTGACGGCACGTCGCGTCGCGTCGCGTGATGTTTTTCGAGGGTGATTCACTATTCGTATCCAGCTAAGGTAAAGGTAAAGGGAAACCCAACCCTCTTCTGCTTGCAATTGCAAATATTCTGTACCATTTGCCAATTTTTGTATGCAAATTTAAGCGTTGCAGCCATTAAATGAAAATGACATTATTACTATTTTTCGATTCCCAATTCGACGGCCTCTGGGGTTGGGGTGCCGTGCGGCAATGGCTTCCAAATTTTCATTTTCCGCATCATTTACAACACAGGAGCGCACAAATCAAAACTGCAAATTTATAAATAATATACACGTAAAAAATTATAATAAGTAAATGAAAACATAAGAAATTATACAAACTTGCAACGTACCTTTTAATGAGCATAAAATCAAAATTTTTGGTCTGCAAACTTTGCATTGAGCCAGCAACAAAATCAAAACAATTTCCTAGATCTAAGCAAAACGAATAAATTCTTACTATTAGTTAATACGAGCACAACTATAAATTGGATTCAATAATTATATTGTGAACGAAAAGGGAAGGAGGAGAGGAGCCGTAATAGAAGACGAGCATGAAATCAAAAACTTGAGCAAAAATCAAAAATTATATTAAATATATTAAAAATCAAACATTATATTTGGCTATTGGCAAATGTATTTTCCTTTAAAAAAACAACAACAACAAAAACAAAATCAAAAAAGCAAAACCTAAACACATTTTGTTATTCAAAATATATGTGAAGAAATTCTTTAAAATTAAAAAAAAAAAAAACAACAACGTATTTATATAAATGTATATGTAACAAAATTTATTTAAAAAACAAAAAACAACACATAAAAATTAAAGAAAAAACAAAACGAAATATTATTGTCAAGAGCAAAATCAAAAGCGCGAAAAAGCAGAAAATTTTTGCAAAGTAACGCCCCCTTTTAATTTTATTGTAAGCGAGCATTTATCAAAATTGTATGTGTTTTAACGATTATATATATGAAATACAAACAAAAAATATATATACAACTATATATATATTGTATGAATTTAAAGCATTAAATATAAAAACAAAAAAGAAAAACAAAAAACCTCATCCAAGTCTTTTTCAATCGCACTCGCAGGTAAGTGTTATGATCTCGACTTAAAAATTACTTTTGCCTTGATTTCAGCATTCGAAAAGCATATCACAAAATTACGTTACGTTCCATATTAAGGGCGTTTTCAGCTACAACAACAACATCGGTACCACAACAGCTAAGCCGCTTGTGCGACCCTTGAGACATGCCAGAAATTCTTCAACTTGTGCAGTTTTTGGCATTTTTCTTTCTGTTTTTCAATATTGAACAATCGACAAGTACGACTATATATATTGATGTATGTATATATGTGTGTGTGTGTGTGTGTGTGTGTGTGAGCAAAGTGCTTCGAACTAACTTTGGATTGAGGGGGAGTAGGTTGTTGTTGTTGTTGTTGTCGTTCCACCACCGCTTGACATCTCACCACCCTAAGCGGCACACGCATTGCGAAATCAAAGAATGTCAATATTTGTAATACATGGGAAGGCAAACTCGAAGCAACATGCGAAATGTCTTATCAATAATTTTGTAAAGAATGCGCTGCCAGATATCCGAATACATGTACTATAAGTACCCAAGTATGTAAAGGAAATACTGAGCATTTCTTTTCTCATTTTACGCTGGTTGGCAGCAGGGCCGTGCAGGCCCGGGCTGGGCAGGGGTACGGGGTGGTTAAAGAATTGTTAAGCATGACGCGTGCATGTGACAGCTCTATAGTTCGAAATGTTTCCTGTTGCCGAAACTTTTCACATCGCACACACACTCATGCTTACAATGCACGTTGAGCACACAATAAAGATGGCTGCAAAAAATATACATATACAAGTATACAAGTAGTAGACTATACATACAATACATAATCATAAAAGCATAGATTTGACATAAATATATATATGTATGTGTGTGTGTGTGTGTGTGTGTGTGTATGGTTTCCCAAGAAATGGATGTGCTGTGTGAGAAGCTCAGAATATTATGACAGCATCAATGTACAAGTATGTACAATTTTCGTATATTTTTAGTAGAAATTGATTACTGAAAATGTTAACAAATATTCAAAACTAATAACAGACTAAACCTTATATTTAATGCCCCAATAAAAAACAAATTGAGCGACTCTCAATATCAAACCTTTTCGACTTTCATGCCACAATTCTTGTCTGGCACTTAGTGTAGTGTTAATTTTTAAATGAGTTTCCTGACAATTTTTTCAAAAATATGTTTTATAATATGTTTTCATCAGTGTTTCTATTTAAGGCCGGGCTATAAAAACAGACAGTTTTTCCACAATATTACATATTATTATCATCATCAAATAGAATCATTTAAAACATGATAAGCAAACATTTTATAAAGCCAATGCTTCTTTAAGAAACGTTTTGTCTTAAGCATATAACACAAATTGCATAATTTTATATTAAATGAATTCAAATCCAATAACTTCCTCACATGTCCTGGTCTCCAGAGACTCCATAGTTTCACTCAAACCCTTCACGATCGGAAGGTACTTTTCCACAAAACTACAAGTATAAGAAATTGAAACAAAGTGTTATGTTTTCTTTACCTTCTTGCTTAGATAAAATCAAGCAAAGACATATTTAATGTAGATAAGAAATTATTATAGAGCACGGATTTGTATTTAAAAATATGCTTGAATCGAATAACTAAATTAACTTGTTTTGCTGAGCAATGAAATATACATTTCATAAATTATGCAGGATTGTTCCATGTTTGAAAAAAGAAGTCAAATAAAATACTTCATCACTTCTAATGTAGAAGTTCTAGTATTTGAACTCTGTTTGAGAGAGAGAACTTTCATTTCAGTCTTGAGCCCCCTTTTCCCCACTTGCGTCGAAAGGGCAGCACAAGTCGTACAAGGTGGGCGTCGATTAATGAAAAAAACCAATGAATTAAGGAATGAGGATAAAGAGTTTTATATCTGAATGTATGTAGGTAATGCCATGCTGAAATAATTATGCTTTCTACGTTCGTTTCTCGACATGTAACTAATTTAATCACCTCAGTACAGAGACCGTAGTATATCAAATAAAGCGGCAAGAAACATGACAACATTAACTATGAAAGGAACAACAATTTCGAGAACATGTCAGCGTTTCAAAATTAGTTTTTAATCGATTTTACAATCATCACACGCACCAGCAACAACCAATTATATGTATGGTGTGGTGTGGGACAAGGGCGCTCAGAGTGAACACAAAACACATACATATGTTTGTTGTATGCGTATATGTATGTATGTGGAGAGGCACAACAATCTATAATTTCAACTCTCAATTAAATTGTGCAGGCGGAGGCGACGACGCCAGCGGTTCACAGAAAACAACAAACAACGAACAATTTTGTCACCATATGCTTGGCACTATTTTCGGTCGTCGTCCTCGCTAATGTTGTTGTTGTTGTTGTTGTTGCTGTTGGTGTTGGTGTTGGCGTGGGTTCACAAAGTCCGTGGCTCGTGTAGCAACAGCAACAACAACAGAAACAAAATAATAATAATAAAAAGCAACAAACAACGCGCCAGGATACGCCAGACCAACTTTAATAATTTAACTTATTGTGGATTTTTCTTTTTCCTTGTTTTTCTTTTACAAATATTTGTGTTTTTGTTTTTCTGCTCCTTTGTCCCGTTCTCGAAACTTTAGGGGTGAGTTTTGGCCATAAAGTGACAATTTAAATAAATGAAACGCATTTAATGGCAAGGGTGGGCCCCACAGGCCAAACTAATGAGTTTAAAAAACGCAACCAGGAATCCATTTGCTTTACTATACTCTATATATATATTTGGATAAAACGAATAATTTTGTTGACCAAAAGACGAAACGGTACAGTAAAAGGATACCCCGAATAATGGGCTAGAGGTAGAAAACGTTCACTCCACTTCCCGCTGTGGATAAAGCAACTTTGCCAGCACCTGATCCGTAACAGAATATGGGGTATTGTGATAGCCCGATAATTGCAGCATCAGCTCCTCCTCGTCTAGGACAAAGAAATCCAAATCCTGGTCAGATTCTTCGTGCCGCTTGACCAGCAGTTTTTCGGCATCCCGTCGAAAAAGACTCACGGCTCGAAAAGCAGAGGCCTGAGCATACTGGTAGTGGAGTTGCGTCAATGCATCATGCAGCTCCAGCTTCTTGGGCCTATGCCACATGGCCAGCTCCAGTTGGAGCAGCAGCCGTCTCATTATATAGCTGGCATACTTCTGCCGGCGCCGCCGTTCCAAATAGTTCTCAATGCCGTGACCAGGAAACAAATGTACCAGCAACACGGTAAGGAATACACAGAACTTGAAGAGCAGTGAGATATTGATTAGGGACATGGGTATCATCATGCTAGGATGCAAGTATTTGGCAAGAAACTCCCTCCAGAACATCAAGTCCCTGCCATGTGTGGCATATTGATGGTCCAGGAAGTAGGTGAGCAGCGCAAACAGCGCCCAGGCGGACCCGATGTAGACATAAAAGCGCCTCAGCCAATGCTTGAATATAGCGACGAAGTAGCCCAGAGTGTACATTGTGGGTGATAGGCGCCCGAAACTTTACCAATTTTTAAGAATTTGTACAAGAAAAACAAAATGAGAAAGTTTAGTGTTTTTTGTGTCAAACGACAATTTCAAAGGAAAAGTTTACAGAGCCAAGGCAATATGATGTCGAAAAATTATTACTAATGTAAGCAATGTTGCTTTCGAACAGAATTGTCTTTAAATTGTAAGACTCGTAGGTAATTATTTCATTTACAAAAGTAATTAAAAGTAAATGTGAATAGAAAACTACGCAGAATGATATTCCGCTTATTTACGTCCATTTCTGATTCATTAGCTTATATATATATATAGCTTGGCGTATATAAATATTTTCGCAACGCTTACTCGTAAATTGGAAATCAAATGCAGTTTTTTTAGAAACTCAAAAATGAAATTTTTATGGCAACTTTAAGGATCTAAGTATTATGGAGAACATTTATTTCCTATCGGCCCAAATATATTTTAAAGTAAGCATTTCAAAATTTACTTTTTACATACATTAAGCAAACGAAAGAGCTAGGGTGAAAGGAATATAACCAAATTATCTATTTGTTTGATTCCTGAATTCGAAGTGGTATGAGAAATTTAATTTTTATATACATTTATATACATACTTGTATGTATATATTATTTTTTAATTTTTGTTAACATAAATACTTAAAAGAACGCTTTACTCCTCGTACTCATCTCTATAGCCTCTGCGTAAAATATAGGACGGGCTGCCGACTATACCCTCCACACTGAGCAAAGGTTCATCCTTTTTTAAGTTTTAGAAGTTTAGAAGTTCAGATTAATTTTTTACTTAATAAGTTGTATGCTTTGCAAATTTCCAAGCAGCTTGGCTTTTGATTTAAAATGATTTTAAATCGCAAACATGCTTTCAAAATAAAAACCACTTTAAACTAACGAAAGCAAACATTGTTTTACAAATGTTTCTTCCTTTCAAAAAAAAAAAAGAGAGCTTGGTTATTAGCTATATTTCAGATACGACTTCGTCCTTCTGTTCGAATGCGAATCCATATATTGTTGCTTCAGTAAAGGGACGCTGATTTCCAATCACGTAGAGAAAACGGCTAGTATTTTAGCAGAACATGCACAACTTTCACTTTCCGAGTGGATTGGCAAGCCATGCGAAGCCATCAAACTAAACAGGGATTTACCTCATATTGTGCCGCTTTGAGATTTGTTCCTTTCCTTTTCAATTTCTTGCAACACAATCGCACAACCGCACTGTGTGCTGCATGAGTGGGTGGTGCGACGGGCGTTGATGAGAAGCAGAAATGTGAGGGCTGGGGACCTGAAACGCACACACACACATCCACATATTCACGCACTTTTACGCATATGTGGAACTTGTATGGTTGCGTAGCAGCAGCTTCAAATGGGGAACGTTGTCCGGAGAAAGAAAGCAACAAATAAGTAGTTACACTTGAAGAAATAAATTGTCGCGCAACACTGATTTCAATTCAAAGAAGAAATGCGGCTAACTATTAAGAATTCCATGTTGTAGCTTGTACTGAAGGAATAAAATTAATGTTGACATTCGTATATTTCCGAGTACCCAGTATTTGGTCATAAATAATTATTAAACTAATAAACGTCGTAAGCGAAGATCGACCGCTTAATCGTCTCTTAAATGTAAAATGAGTTCATAAAGCATAGTCGGTCTAAGGACTTGATATTTAAATGTTTCCGATGTCCACTTATTTTAGTCAATACTCAATATGTAGTCAACTATTTATATTTAAAACAAACTTGAGCCTACATTTAAATAGTCCCGAACAGAAACTATAGCTTAAAAATATATGAAATATAAATATTTTTATTTTTTAACTTTCGCATACTTACGAAAAATATTTATAGTTTTCTGTCAATATTAATCAAATGTCAATATTTTTATAGCCTGTACCCAAAGGGTGAAAGGCTATACTAGTTTTGTGCGCATGTATGTAACACACAGAAGGAGGCGTGGCAGACCCCACAAAGTATATATATTCTTGATCAGGATGAGAAGACGAGTCGATATAGTCTGTCGATATAGAGTCTGTCCGTCTGTCCGTCTGACCGTCTGTCCGTCTGTCTGTATGAGCGCAAGGATCTCAGTAAGTACAAGAGCTAGGATAACCAAAATTGGTATCAAGGTTCCTATAAGCCCTAGGCAGAACGAGTTTGTTTATTTTTTCTGATACACCCCCCCACTCCCCCGCAATTCGTATTTTTTCTTATAACTTCCGTAATTCTCGGAATTTAAAAATCAATTTTGGTAGGTACATCCAGTTAGTACTAATGTGTCCGTGTGCCAAATTTCATCATGATAGGTCAATTCTGAAGAAAGTTATAGCCATAAGTAAAATCGCTGCTCATGCGCTGCCTGCAGCTCTGTCGGCAGCGCTGCCCGCAGCTGTTGTTGTTGTTGCTGCTTTTGTTCAACTTTGTGCTGCATACACGCATATGAACACGAATAGGTACGTGATGTAAATGTATGCTGTTTAAACTGAACATAAACATGTATTCTAATTTAATTAAATTAATTATTTTAATTAATTCATTCATTCATTTTTTTTAATAATTTAATTTTTTTTTAATTTTTTTTTTTTTAATTTTTCCTTTTTGTGGAGAGTACAGGCTATTTTACTGTCGGGCTTGCTCGACTGTAGCGTTCTATCTTGTTTATTCTGAATAATCAATAAAAGGAATACCTAAGCATATTTTTTCTTGTTGCAAACGACACGAAACGGTTCAAAATGAATCAGAAGCAGATAGATTTGTACGATGAGCGGCCAACAATACACTAAAGCTAAAAAACTTGTGGTTCAAGTGATATCTAAGGAGTCCATAATATTATTTCCGACATTGTGCAGGAAGTAAAGCTAATTTTGTCGACAACGATCTCGCTGAATATTTTTGGTCTCGATGCAGTCTTAGATTTTATAAAAGCTATTAATTTTAAAATAACAACAAAGCCACAATTCATGCTATACTTGTATATTTTTTATTAAATTTGCTACCTCTTTTTTTCAGTGTAGCCAACCAGCTAGCTAGCCAAGTAGCTGGGCAACAGAGAAAAGGCAAAAATTCTGTGAAAGTTGAGAAAAATAAGAGGGAAAATTGTAATTTTCATCGAAAGAAAAAAGTTTTTTTTTTCATTTTTGCTTGACCTTAAAAGAAAATTAGTAGCCCATGTATGTGAGAGAATGGGGGTGTTTGCATGTGTGTGTGTGTGTGTGTGTGCGGCACATCCGTGCGTATGTGTAATGCTAATGTGTAAGTGGCCAGCATGCGTGCGTCTTACAAGCACACACACACTCTCTGTATGTGTGTGAGCTATCGAAAAATTCCAAAATAAAACGAAAAATTTAACGCAAAGGCAAAAGGCAAAACTGCGTGGGGCAGGGGGGTAGGAAGGGGAGGATATTGGTGGGCATAAGTTAAGGGGGCGGGGGAGTTAGAGAATGGAGAGCATGGAAGGATGCGAAGACTTGGACGATTCTCTAATTTCAAGCTCATGTCGCAAACGAACGGCAGCTGGCTTTTGTGAGAGGGTGGTGGCTGGTTGTTGTTGTTGTTGGCGTTGTCCTCCATACTTCTTGTTGTTATTTGGGTGCGTGTGTTTCGTATTAGCGTTGGCATGTGGCTTGGAGGCAGGCGGATGCTAAAGTGAAAAGTAGTAAATTGAACTTTTTTCCTCTACATGTTCGTATATATTTCCTCCTTTGCTGGCTCGGGTTCTGTCTCAGTTTCGGTTTCGGTAGGTTGCCCTCTGCCTATAGCCTGACCCTCTTACAGCGCCTTTCCCCCTGCCCCTCTCCAAGGGTCCACATACGTTCGCTTTTATATTTTGGTGAGCAATTTGTACTTTTCTGCGTTCAGCAGTTTTTGCAGTTGTTGCGCTCACTCGCACACTTTATTTTATTTTACTCGTACTTTACTTTCTATTCACTTTCATTTTGATTCTGTTTGACGGCTCTTGTGAGTGCGTATTTTTATGTACATAGCTACATACTTGTATGGCTCCTGTGTGTACATATGTAGTATATTCATGCATACTTGTATGTATGTAGATGTGTATGTGTGAATTGTAGTTTGTGCTTGGCTGCAGGCGCGTTTGTAATTTATCGCTTTTCAAATGAAAGTTGAACGCCAGTGGGTGGCAATATAGAATTGGCAAATTATTTATAGCAATAAATATGAGAAACATGAAAACCAGCTCTTCCTTCCTTTCTTCTAGCCAATAACGGCAGTGAGCGAGTGCGTGAGTGAGCAACGGACTTAATTAAAAAAAAATTGTTGCCATGGCTGTTGCTAATAAATTAAAAAATATATCAGTGTTAGTAGGTAGCGCACCCTCTACTATTGCTTGGCCAAGAGCGACGAAAATCAAAATGTCAAGGCTAGAATGACAGTCCGCAACAACAATAACATCACGGCAGCATCCCCCAATGTGTGCCATGAAGCGAAAGTGACAAAAAAATATATAAATGATGACAACAAAAATGGCGTCTCAAAAACAATGCACTGTCTTATATACTTACATGTACATGTATGTATGTACATATATACATATATATATATGTGTGTGTGTGTGTGTGTGTGTGTGGGTGTTTGGCTGTACGACTGCTCGTTAGATGTCAAGACGATCAGGCGTGAGCTGTGACTTACGATAGATGGACAGGCGGACCAGCTAAGAAGCAGATGAAACCACCGTCGCACAAATGTATGCTACGATTTTTTGACATGATTTTCCAATGAATTCGTTATTTGTGGACACGTTTTTTTCCTTATGGCAGGCAATTTAGACGGTGCCATTGCCGACCTTTACTGTTGTCCACGGTGCTCAAATCAATAAGAGAGTGATGGTTGCCAAAGAATTGAAATACATTTCTCTACACATGAATTTTGGCGACCATATTGTTGGAACACAAATGCAAGTCAAATATTTGCACATTTCTAAAATACACATGTTGAATGAACGTAGATAGCCATTTATATATCTCAGATTTCTTTTTATTTCATTTTCTGCTTGGCGCTAGTAAATTTCTGCACCATTTTATGAATCATCATCTTATAA